GGTTTCCCCATGTTGGTCAGGCTGGTCTCGAACTCCCAACCTCAGGTGACCCACCCGCCTTGGCCTCCCAAAAAGTACTGGGATTACAGGCATGAGCCACCACGCCCGGCCTATTTTACTTTATTGAGACGGAGTCCTGCTCTGTTGCCCAGACTGGAGTGCAGTGGCACGATCTCTGCTCACTGCAACCTCCGCCTCCCCGGTTCAAATGATTCTTCTGCCTCAGCCTCCCAAGTAGCTGGGATTACAGGCACACACTACCGTGCCCAGCTAATTTTTTTGTACTTTAGTAGAATGGGGTTTTGCCATGTTGGCCAGGCTGGGCTTGAACTCCTGACTTCAGGTGATCCACTTGCCTCGGCCTCCCAAAGTGCTGGGATTACAGGCATGAGCCACTGCACTCGGCCATCACTTTAGATATTTAATATACAAATTCAGATTCTAAGTCTGCGTCCTCAGAGGTTCTCATTAGGAGGTCTGGGGAGGAGCCCACTTTCTTCATTTTAAAAGACACTACAGGCTGCCTTTTATGTTTGAATAGCAAAAATAAATAAATAAATAAATAAAATACGCTACAGGGGATTTGGAAGCACAATCTTCGTGGAGAACACTGTCATAGTAGTAGGATTTGCAAGCTCTTAAAGCCCACTAAAGCCAGGCAGGTAACAAACGGGTGGTGTGTGACAGAAGAGTGCTGGCGACTCTGATGAACAGGAAGATCTTAAGTTTTCTAAAACGCAGTCAGTATTTAGCTTTAGCTAGTTGTTGCCAGATAACGCCAGTCCAGTGTTGCTAGATATTCTACTTAATCTTTTCAAGAAGAGTTAGAAATCCTGATTTATTTGTGACATTCCCTATTTTTAAATATCAGCAACCAATTCAAAATTTAAACAAAAAAATTGAATTGTAGGCCAAAACATATGCGCTGGCTAGATCTGGCTCTGAATCTGCCTGTTGAAATCTCTTGACAACACTTTAGCCAAACAAAAGCTTGATTTAAGTCAAAATGATGCAGTCAACAGCTCTCTTGACTGGCAGCATCACATTGCTTCTGCAATGTGAGGCTCTCTGGGGTTCTGGATAACACCCAGCTTGGCATGGGGCAAAGTGCTCTGAGAGGGGAGTCAGGAGACCTGTTTCCTAATCCCTGCTAACAACTTGGTAGGTGACATTGGGAAAGAAATTCTCTCCCTTGTTACAGGATTTCTTTCTATAAAGTAAGGGGGATGACCTTTATTGTTCTTTCCAAGGTTCTAGATCATTCTTTTTCATGAAAATATATGTACTTATTATCTGTCAGCTACTTGAAAAGGAAACTTTTCAGATTAAGTTGAAAATTCACCTTTAACTGGCTTGAGTAACAACTAGTTCTTCCTCTCCCATATTCTCCTGTGTCTTCAGTGATTTGTGTTTGCATGGAAGTTTCTTTCTACTGTATGCTTTTGCGGGTATTTTCTAAGGGAAAGAGCTCATTTTGGAATAGAAAGTGTGGGTGGGGTTGAGCATATGGACTTCTCATTTGCTGAATACTACGTTTGAATCAAATAAAAAAAAAAAAGGAATAGAGTTAATATGGGGAACATTCTGAAGTATAAAGCCACTTCCTTGAACTTCACTGTTCAAATAAAACCTTGCAATTCATTCTTTTTTCCTTGTAGCTTCACTGAGATATAATACACACACAATAAAATTCATCTATATAAAGCATACAATCCAATGTTTTTAGTATATTTACAGAGTTGTGCAATCAACACCACTATCCAAAACATTTTCAACTCCTCAAAAAGAAACCCCATACCTGCTATTGGTTGCTATAGTTCTGGCAACCACAAATCTGCTTTCTGTATCTATAGACTTGCCTATTCTGGACCTTGTATATAAATGGAATTATACAATATGTGGTCTTTTGTGTCTGTCTTCTTTCATTTAGCATAATGTTTTCAAAGTTTATCCATGTTGTAGCATGTATCAGGACTTCATTCCTTTATATTGCCAAATAATATTCTATTGCATGGCTATACAATATTTTTTTGTTTATCCACTCATCATCTGAGGGACAACTGAGATGTTTCCATTTTTTGGCTATTATATATAACAATCCTATGAACATTCACAAACAAGTTTTCATGTGAATATATGTCTTAATTTCTCTCAGTTATAGATAAATAGGGGTGTAATTGTCAGGTTGTATGGTAACTCTACATTTAATCTTTTGAGGAACTGACACAAAGTATTCCAAAGCAGCGGCATCATTTAACACACCTACCAGCTGTGTATGAGGGCTCCAGTTTCTTCACATCTTTGTCAACACTTACCTGTCTTTTAATTTTAGTCATCCTCGTGTGTGAAGCAGTATTTCGATGTACTTTTTTTTTTTTTTTCCTTTTTTTTGAGACAGGGTCTTGCTCTGTTGCCTAGGCTGGAGTGCGGTGGCCCAGAGCTCGGCTCACTGAAACCTCCGCCTGCCAGGTTCAGCAATCCTCCTGCCTGGGCCTCCCAAAGTGCAGGGAATACAGACATGAGCGGCTACAATTTTGTTTTGCTTATGATTTTGTGGGTCAAGTATTCAAGAAGGGTCGGGAGTGATGGCTCATGCCTGTAAGTCCAGTGCTTTTTTTTTTTTTTGAGACGGCTCTGTCGCCCAGGCGGGAGAGCAGTGGTGCAATCTCGTGATCTCGCGATCTTGGCTCACTGTAACTTCCGCTTCCTGGGTTCAAGCTATTCTTCCGCCTCAGCATCCAGAGTAGCTGGGACTATAGGTGTGCACCACCCCCAGTTAATTTTTGTAATTTTATGTAGAGACGGGTTTTAGCATGTTGGTCAGGCTGGTCTCCAACCCCTGGGCTCAAGCGATCCGCCTGCGTCGGCACCTCAAAGTGTTGGGATTACAGGCGTGAGCCACTACAATTTTATTTTGCTCATGATTTTGTGGGTCAAGTATTCAAGAAGGGCTTGGAGTGATGGTTCATGCCTGTAATCCCAGCACTTTTTTTTTTTTTTTTGAGCCCACATTGTCGTGCAGCCGAGAGTGCAGTGGCGCGAACTTGGCTCACTGCAACTTCCGCGTCCCAGGCTCAAGTGATCCTCCCACCTCAGCCTCCGAAGTGGCTGGGACTACAAGTGCACGCCACCGCTCTGGACTACCTTTTGTATTTTCAGTAGAGATGCGTTTAGCCATGTTGGCCAGGTTGGTCTGGAACTCCTGGGCTCAAGCATCCACCCACCTCGGCCTCCCAAAGTGTTGGGATTATAGGCGTGAGCCATCGTGCTCAGCCATCCCAGCACTTTGGGAGTTTGAGACTAGCCTGGGCAACATAGGGAGACCTAGTCTCTTAAAAAAAAAAAAAAAAATTACCTGAGCTTGATGGCATGTGCCTGTAGTCCCAGCTGCTAGGGAGGCTGAGGCGGAAGCATCACTTGAGTCCAGAAGTTGGAGGCTGCAGTGAGCCATGATTGTGCCACTGCACTTCAGCCTGGGTGACAAAGGGATCTTGTCTCTCAAAAAATAAAAAAATAAAAGATTAAAAAAAAAAAGAATTCAGGACGGGCTGGGCTGGGTGGGTTGTTCTTGCTTGGGGTCTCTCACGCAGTTGCAGTCAGATGCTAACAGGGGATGCCATCATTGGAAGGCTTGATTAGGCTGAGTATCCAAGATGTCTCACTTAGATGGCTGGCAAGTGATGCTGGTGATCTGGTGGGAGCTCAGTGGGACTTTTTTCTGTTTTTTTTTTAAATGACATGTTGCTCCTGGCCATCAATGAGACTTCTGATTGGCATGCCTACATGTAGCCTCTTTAGCATGGCAGTCTTATGGTAGTCAAACTTCTTACTTTGTTTCTCCCAGAGTGAGAATACCAAGAGAACAGCTGCATGGCCTCTTCTGATCTAGCCTGGTAAATTAGGCAGCATCTCTTCTGCTGCATTCTACTGGTTCCAAATGAGTTACCAAGTCCAAGAACTCGCAGTCATGTTCCAAGATTGCTGTAAATGCTTCCTGTGTACCAGCACTGTTTTATGTAATCATTTAATTCTTATTAAAATCCCCATGAGGGCGGGCACAGTGACTCACACCTATAATCCCAGCACTTTGGGAGGCCGAGGCGGGAGGCTCGCTTGAGGCCAGGAGTTCAACCCCTCACACTCACACTCCTCATTACTGCACATTTGTCACACATAAACATAGCCGCTATGACACTGTACTGACACATACAAAATCTGTCACATTCCGTCTTGCCCATGCAAGCTCAATCACTGTGACTTATTCTCCATGCTCAGCCACTGTCCAATTTTTCATACTGTCACAACCACCAGCCCATCACACACTCAATTACTGTGACACAGCTCTAATCCTCAATCACTGTCACATACTGTTTTTCACACAAATATGGTCACCATCTGTACTCTTAAAGCAGGGTATTTACTCTCCTATGAAATTGAGTTAATATGCCAACAGCCCATTTTTCACACACGCTGTCACATATTGTATTTTTCATCCATACAATCCCTGACATACACAATTAGGGTCACACACTGTTACAGCCTTCGTGCCACTCCCAACTGACACCTACTCCCACGCTCTCACGCACTCGCTCACTAGCTAGGGATTGGATCGATGTGTCCGTGGAGGTCTGAAGCCCGGGTCACCTCCCGAACCTCAGCCCCAAGCGGCGCGGCCCCGCCCCTCCCCGCCCCCTCATGCATATGCAGCACCTCAGCCTGGCAGCCCGGCCCCCAGACGGCCATTTGTGGCGGCGCTGGAGGCTGCGTTCGGCAGGCGCTGCGGAGACGCGTAGAGGAGCGCGCCCCCCGGCCGCTGCCGACCCTGGCCGGTGCCGTCACCCCGCTTCTCCGCGCCTCGGGCGGTACCAAGCCAGCCCCCAGCGCCGCGCTACCGCGCTGACCGGCCCTCCCGACACCTCCCGGTACCCGGGACCCCAGCGCGGCCGCTCGCCCGCAGCCAGCCGGCCGCACACGTCCCCAGCCGGGCCTAGGGCGGGCGGCGGCGGCGGCTCGGCGCGGTCAGGCTGGGCTCTGCGGCGTCCCCATGGCCGCGGCCGGCTGGCGGGACGGCTCCGGCCAGGAGAAGTACCGGCTCGTGGTGGTCGGCGGGGGTGGCGTGGGCAAGTCGGCGCTCACCATCCAGTTCATCCAGGTACCTGGAGCGGGCCTGCCCGGGGCGCCGGGGCGGCGGCGGGCGGGAGCTGGCGCTACCTGTGGCGGGGCGGCCGCCGCGACCTCGCCCCGGAGGCGCCTCGCGGGCCCGGGCCGGGGCCGGGGCCGGGGGCGGGAGGGCGCGGGGCCGACTACGCTCCTGCCCTGCGGCCGCAGCGTCGCGCTCTTGCCTCCTCCCGGGCGCGGCGTCGCGGGAGTAGGGCTTCTCAGGAATGTGGTCGGGAGGGCGGAGCTGGCAGGGTGGGAAGCACCGATCCACCTTACCGCTCTGGCCGAGGCCGGAGACCTCCGGGAGAGGCTGGGCCACCGAGCCGGGCTTCCTGCTCCGAGGGTCCGGGCGTGGGGCTGGAAGTGGAGCCCCGCGCGCTGCTTTTCCAGCCGCCTGCGGCCGCGCCTGCACCGTCGGGGCGATCGCAGTGGCAACTTGGCGGCGGCTCCGCGTGGTCTCCGGGCTTCCCAGCGCCGCCTGAGCCGGAGCTACCCGCTTCAAGCACTGTGTATTTCTTTGTGTTGTTATGCTTTTCTTATAAGTACTCTCTTAGGTAATGTGTCCGGGTGGGAGTGTGTGATAATGCCCCGGGGAAATGGTGGCTTCGAGGAAGTTAAAAATGTTCTCTGATGGGGTGAGACCTTTTCCTAGGAATTCCTGATGCCGCCCTGCTTCTCGCCGTGCCTAGGTGAAGTTTGGGATGGGCCGGGCTGGAATATGACCGAGTCGTGCGTTCTGTTTTCTAACCACCCTCTCCCCCACCCCCAGCCCTCCCTGGTTGCTAGAGGCGGAAAGTCAGGGGTTTGTGGTAAAGAAAAGGGAGGTGGAATTCTTCCTTCTTAGAATTTGCTCTTGGGGAGAGGTTTGAGTAGTCTCTTTTGCGATTTTTAAAACACAAAGCCCCGATGTCTTTCTGCTTTTGTCAACCTAAAAGGTGTGGCATATGCTGGGAGAGAACGAAGGTACCCTGCTATAACAGGTAACAAGGATATTCTTCACAGTATCTAGAGTATGAACGGTGAAATATTTTTTTCTGGTTTCCTTTTCACCCATTTGTCAGATACCCGAATAGCTTATTTCACTTAGTGTTTATAGTGACATTAAAATATTGTACGGTAACAAATGTGATTGTCACTTTTCACATTGAGTAAATGAGCAATAATTGCTGCTATAATATTCCCTGGGATTACTACTGCTAAAACCTTTGTATCCAGGAAGAAAGGATGTTTTATGTAATGAGCATTTACAGTATGCTTATTAGTGGGTTAAAAAAAAATCACTGAGTAAGGGGTGAGATTGGTTTAAGTTTAGCAGGCTACAGATTCAGGGGTGTTGTCAGGTTGCTATTTCCCTAGGGCGCAGAGAGATTGTACCTATCTAATGGCAAAGCAAAACAATTTATAGCTAACCCTTTCTTTGGGGACTAGTGTGATGGCCGGGAGTGGGGTGGGGTGGGGGGCGGTGGGGAGGGTGAGTGGAGGAGAAGTCTAGGAGTGGGAGAATAATCTTGGGTTCCAGTATTAGTAGTGTTACTTAAAAGATTTGAATCACAAATATTTAAGTTTTTTTGAGGAAGGGGCCACCTGAATTATTTGAGCCCATGTTAATTAATTAAGGTATTGGGCCCTTTTGTTTTTGGGGAAGTAATGGTATTAAACCATTAAGAAAGCAGTAATTGGACCTGGCGTCGTGGCTCTCTGTGATCCCATCACTTTGGGAGGCATCAAACCAGCCTGGCCAATATAGTGAAACCCCGTCTCTACCAAAAATACAAAAATTTGCCGGGCATGGTGGCGCGCCCCTGTAGTCCCCGCTACTCGGGAGACCAAGGCAGTAGAATCGCTTGAACCCGGGAGGCGGAGATTGTAGTGAGCCGAGATTGTGCCTGGGCAACATAGCGAGACTCTGCCTCAAAAACAAAACAAACAAATTAATTGCTGTTTTCCTAATAATTTATAGAATCATTTGTTGAAACAATACCTCCACTATGAATAGTATAGTACCTAGATGCTCTAGATGATATTAAGGAAGCAGGTATGTATGAGGAAGACATTTGTACATCAAGAGTATGAACTTTGAGTCTTACAGACTTGAGCATGTGTGTCTTTTAAAGCTGTCACTTATCGACTGTGAGAACATGGCCAAAATAGCCTCTCTGAGCCTCAGTTTTCTCACCAGTAAAATGGGTGTGATTACACATTCTTTATAACTTTTAAATTACGACAAAGTTTGTAGCATTGTATCTAGCATGTTGTGTGTGCTCAGTAATGGTAGGTGTTATCAGTGTTTATGCCTACAGTTCTCTAACATGTTTAAATGCAAAGGGAATTCAGACTCACAAAAGTCTGGAACAAATTGATGAAAGCACTATGTAGGCTTGGTGGTGGGGAGAATGGAAATGTTATATGTGGGAGTCATATGCTAGCTGGGAGAGAGGAGGTGGCAAGTGCAGAAGTGGGACTGATAGTTGATTTGGGACCTGTGATCTGGTCTCTGCAAAAAGGAGACTTTTTGGAGAGAACAGGAACCCGACCTCCTGGATGCAACCTCAGCTCTACCACTTGCTGCATGTGTAATTTTAGGCAGGTTACTTAACTTCTCTGTATATTAGTTTTCCCCATCTGTAAACTGGGGAAATATGGTGGACCACATACAGCCGTGAAATTAAATGAGTTAACATGTCAAGGGCTTAGAACAATGTCTAATACAGTATATAGTAAAGCTGCATACATTATTATATTAATTTTAGATTATGGAACTAAAGTGATTTTTTTATATTTACACTTAATAGGGTAGCTATTCATTGCCTGACTCCTGGGATGTTAAAATTCATTCCACTATGATTGTTTAGCAGTAGTAACTGGAGGGAGAGAACACAGCAGACGAATCATTTTAATAAGCAGAAGTCAGTTCTCTTGGTAGGAGATTAGAATGGCACAAATTGGTCTTAATTTTTTTTTTTTTTTTTTTGAGACGGAGTCTTGCTCTGTCGCCCAGGCTGGAGTGCAGTGGCCGGGTCTCAGCTCACTGCAAGCTCCGCCTCCCGGGTTCACGCCATTCTCCTGCCTCAGCCTCCGGAGTAGCTGGGACTACAGGCGCCCGCCACCTCGCCCGGCTAGTTTTTTGTATTTTTAGTAGAGACGGGGTTTCACCATGTTAGCCAGGATGGGGTCTTAATTATTTTTTTGAGACTCCTGAAACACCGGACTGTTTTTACAATTTTCAGTATATATATTTTCTACTATGTAATTTTGAGCAGAAAAAATATATAAAATTGGGAACGGAGAATTTAAAAACAATGCCTGATTTAAGGTAAACTTAACTTTCTTTGACTTAGATTTAGTTGTTACCCTCTGTTCATATGAAGAGTTGCAAAATTAGGAAACTAAGGAAGTTAAATTGAGATACCTTTTCCTTTATAAAAATAAATATCATAAAGTAGCCATGATAAAACATAAAGTATTATGTTATTTAATGAGTACGTGTGTGTACATGACCTCCTCCTTTCTGTTGCTCATCATTCTTTGAAAAATGTGTGAAGTTCTGTTGGTAGGTAGAACACCTAAATGATGAGTAAACTCTAGGTAGGAAATGACTTCAAGATGGTACAGAGTGGTTAGGAGAGACCACTGGGTATGTAGGGGCTAGGTCTCTCTCTACCCAGGTGACTTTGAGTAGTTTCTTAATCGGCCTTTGTCTTGACTGAGCTTCTGTTTCTTCATGAAATGTTGGGTTTGGTTGAACAAATTTCTACACCTTTGAAATTCTAGGGTGGTTTTTTTTTTTTTTTTCTCGTTTAACTAGCTGTGTCTTTAGTCAAGTTTCTTAGGTTCTCTAAACCCAAGTTTCACCACTTGGGAAGGGAGAATAATATTAAATAATAGTACCCTTAGGTTTTTGGAGTAAATAAAATAATGCAGGTAAATCATCCAGCACAGTGCCATCTACAGAGTAAATAAATAAGAATTGTTGGCTGGGCACAGTGGCTCATGCCTGTAATCCCAGCATTTTGGGAGGCCGAGGTGGGTGGATCAGTTGAGATCAGGAGTTTGAGACCAGCCTGGCCAACATGGTGAAACCCCACCTCTACTAAAAATACAAAAATTAGCTGGGCGTGTTGGTGTGTGCTTGTAATCCCAGTTACTCGGGAGGCTGAGTCAAGAGAATCACTTGAACCTGGGGGGCGGACGCCACTGCACTCCATCCTGGGCAACAGAGCGAGACTCTGTTTCAAAAAAAAAAAAAGAATTGTTACTTGGTTTTATTTGCTGCTGTTAGTTCTGTATCTTGGTGTTCCTGCAAAACAAAATTTGTAATTTATTCATTTTTCTTTGACACATAATCTGGTCTATTACTTTAAGTCTTCACTGCCCTCTCCTTCCTGGCTCAACCCTATACTCCCCTCCTTCTGTGTGGTATTCAGGTGATGAATGTGTGGATTCCATTTTGAGTTGGAGAAATTTCTTTTTGTAAGTTTGGATTTGATTTTAAGAAATAATGATGTAAGCATTTAATTTTGGTGTTAGTGCTTTATCTGGTAACTCTGAGAAAAGACCATATATTTTTTAAAAATTTATAGGGCGAAGTATCCCAGTTTCTATTTTTTTTTTTTTTTTAACATGTTAACTTTTTATTCAACAATTTGCCAGATTTTGAGGGAGGTAGGGGTTAGCTGATTTCTCACATCTTGAATTTCAGTCAGTCCTATGACCTGTTAGTCTGGACCCAGCATTGCTTTTTAAAAGTTTGTCTTTTGCTGAATGCTTTTTCATTGCTTTTTCCTGGGGCAGAGAGCTGAGAAGAGATTTCAGGAGATTTGTGTTAATAGTTAATTGATCCACATGTGAAGGTTGTGAGTTTAAATTCCCAATTTGCCGTTCCATTGCTACATCTTGAAGATTTTTCCTGCAATTAGAAACTACTTAAACTGTTAACTTTTATCTATGATTTTGAAACTCTAGACATTTTTAGTGTGTGAACTTTTTTTTACA